GCTATTTTTTCATTATTTATTTAAAGGATGAACAATTATCCGTTTTTCGTTTTGTTAAGTAGTTTTTAAAAAAAAAAAAAAAATCTAATTTATTAGGTAATTTTAAATTTTGTTTATAGATTTCTTTTGATATTTTCTTATTTTTTTGATTGTAAACTTTGTAAATATGGCTACCAAAAAGCAAATTGATAAATTATTGTCAAAGAAAAAGCAAGCAATCGACTCCATGGTTAGAATAAGTCGTTATATTTCCGATCACAAATCTGATCCTGACAGTGAGTATAAAACCGACCAATTTTTAGTCCGGAAGGAAATATTGCAGGACAGTTTTCAAAAGCTTAAAGACATTCAAGTTGAAATTCTGTGCCTTGATGGTAACTATGATGATTCAATTGATGATGTAGAAACTCTTTTTTATGATGTCATTGTAAGTATTAAAAAAGGTGTCTATCTTATTGCAATCAAAAATTGATAAAGTATTTATTTATTCTGATTCGACCATTGTACTTGCTTGGTTAAAATCAGATCCTCTGAAATTAAACCCTTATGTGGCAAACAGAATTATAAAAATTCAAAACTTAACTTCAACTTTTAAATGGTTATATATTAACACGAAAGAAAATCCTGCCGATTGTCTATCCAGGGGTCTCGAGCCTCAGGAAATTGAGTCAAATAATCTGTGGTTCCACGGTCCAAACGTTCTTTCTGATATTAATTTTTGCCATAATGAGATTCCTATAGAAATTCCTGCTTCCTTGCCAGAAGAAAAATTTTTAACACAAGTCATAAAAACAAAGCCAAATTCATTTTTTGAAGATTTTTCATCCCTTAGAAGACTTCAAAGAGTTTTTGCCTATATACTTAGATTTGTTCACAATTCTGGAAAAAATTCTGGTGAAAAACTTGAGGGAAGTTTGAAGCTTTCAGAACTGGAACACAGTCTTAGAGTAATCATAAAATGTGAGCAAGACTTTTACTTTTCTAATGACATTAAATCTTTACTTTCCAATACCCCTTTAAAATCCTCATTAAACTCTTTGTCGCCGTTCCTAGATGGCAATGGATTATTGCGAGTGGGTGGAAGGTTACATAATTCAAACATTCCATATAATCAGAAACATCCTGTGATCTTGCCCAAGGAAAGTCACATCACCAAATTAATTATAATACAAGAACATTCAACTTTGTTGCACGCTGGACCAAGACAAGTTTTAGGTTCCCTAAACCTCAATTATTGGCTCATAAATGGAATAAGATTAATTAAAAAAGAGCTACACAAATGTGTGATTTGCTTTAAATTCAAAGCAAAATGTTCCACTCAATTAATGGGTTCCTTGCCGGAAAAAAGAGTCTGTTCAGCCAGAGTGTTTCAAAATGTCGGGGTAGATTTTTGCGGTCCCTTCCTCGTTAAGCAATCTCGAATTAGAAAATCCGTAAGTTCCAAGGCATACATAGCACTTTTTGTGTGCTTTTCAGTCAAAGCAATTCATATGGAACTGCTTTCAGACCTGACAACCGAAAATTTTCTAGCTGCTCTGAAGCGTTTTATTTCGCGGAGGGGGAAGCCCGCAAATATTTTCTGCGACAATGGTTCCACGTTTAAAGGAGCCGAGAATAAAATCAAAGAGTTTTATAACGAAACAGAAAAAATTGAAAATTATTCCCTTCAGGAAAAAATTACATTTAATTTTATACCGAGCTATTCTCCAGTTTTTGGTGGTTTATGGGAAGCTGGAGTAAAATCGGCAAAATTTCACATCAAGCGAGTCATAGGTAGCAATGAGCTTACCTATGAACAATTTAATACTCTTATTGTCCAAGTAGAAGGAATTTTAAATTCCCGACCACTTGTAGCCTTGTCACAAGATCCTTCAGATTTGGACTATTTGACCCCTGGTCATTTTTTGATAGGTGCGCCTATCACAAGCTTTCCTGACCCTGATTTGACGGAAATTCCTCAAGGTCGACTTAAGTTTTGGAAATTGTGTGTCCAGATGCAGCAGCATTTTTGGAAAAAGTGGTATCACGACTATCTAACGCAACTCCAAAATAGGCCAAAATGGCGTGATGAGATGCCTAACCTTAGGGAGGGCTTGTTAGTCATTTTAAAAGAGGACCTTCTTATAAGTGGCCAATGGCAAGAATAGTTAAAGCAATACCTGGAAAGGACGGCAAAGTAAGGGTTGTCGAAGTGAAAACCAAAAAAGGTATTTATCTCAGATCGGTTACCAAGATTGCAGTGTTACCGATTGATGACAATAATTGTTAATAATATTTTTGAAAATTATTCACAAAATTCTGTACATATATTTGTAAAACATTTAGATTTATATTTATATTCAATTAGCTATACTCGTATATACATACATAATGTCATACTATGTGTTCCAGAAATGTTTTTAGCTTTAATTGTTAGTTAAGTTTTCGTTTACTGGATCATCATTGAAATCATACCTTTTTTTAAAAAAAAGGGTTGCTTACTTTCTCTTTAATTTTTTTATTTTTTTTGCTGGAAAATTTTACCTTGGTTTCATGTGAAACTCTAGGCCCCCCAGCATGTTGGAAACATGTTCCAACAATCATGCTATCTCTTTTTGATGGCAAAATATTTTTATACATATAAAGTTTGCAACACTGCAGCGTTGTCGTCATGTCTATTTTGTCATGTCTGTCAATATATTGCGCGCCATTTTTGTCATTGCAGCAGTGTAGCTTGGAGCTTGTCCACGTTAACAAGCATCGAGAAACCTTTTCACATTTTAATAAATTTTATAATCTAGCTCTGCCCTGTTGGGCATCTAAGCAAGCTCTGGCTTCTTGTCATCTTGTAGTAGTAATTGTAAATAGTGTAAATATTGTGTAAATTGTTGTAAATATAGTGTCAGTGAAAAGCGCGTGTGTTTTAGTTCCCTATCCAGTCGATCATCCAGTCCACCTAATTATACAGTCCACTAATTATCAAGTTATTTATCTTCCATTATGTGGTTTTGCACACTACTCTTATTATATACTCGTGGACAAAATTATTGTACCACTGCTTTTGTGGTGCTTATGTGCAGTGGTGCGATAATTTTATCTAGGAGAAGGTATACTATATTTACTGCATCATTCATTGTTGAAACTAAATTACCAATAATTGATCAAAAATTAATAAAGCCATTTAATTCAAAAAATCCGATTTAAATCAAAAAAATCTGATTTAAATCAAAAAAATCTGATTTTTTTGATTTTTTCAAAAAAATCATGATTTTCGCCAACCCTGTTGGATTCTACATAAAATTTTGAGCAGATTTTATGTGATATACCCTATACCTAAGTTCAACTGTTTTGGAAATATTGACAGTTGAAAATTGACTTTTTGCAACTTTGACAGGCTGTAAAACCTGAACGGTTAATTTTAGAGAAAAATCGATTTTACATTCCTATCTTAGATTCCCTGCGTTTTTATTCTCATCAAATTTTACCGATGGATCCACCATTCTATGTCGGTCATTGTCATTTTCCATTCACTAAACAATGATAGCTAACTCATCGGTGAATCCACCGATGAGAATAAAAACGCACATATTTTTATAAACTATTATTTGACACCAATTTTGAATTTAATCCATGATTAAAAATTTCAGTTAAATTTAATATCCGGTTAAATTCAAAGTTGGTGTCTGCTCAGAATTTTACGTAGAATCCAAATATGCAATCACATACAGGGTGTTTCATTTAAAATAGCGATGTTGCCCCTGGTTTAGAGTAGAAGCGGCAACACCGCATAAACAAAAATATTTTTAAAGTGTAGATTATGGTCGTTTATCCCGGTTGCCAAATTTTCAAAATGATCCGCTTTTTAGTTCTCTATAAACGTCTAATACGCCATCCACCGTGGGACACCCTGTATGTATATGTATCAAAATAAACAAATATATTTTCAATTTCTAAAAATCGTTGATTGATTTTTTTCAAAAAAATCACTTGATTTAAATCATGATTTGAATCGTGATTTAAATCATTTGATTTAAATCATGCCAACCCTGGTGATGTCTCTTTTGAAAGTCTAATTAGTAGATATTTGTTTCATTATCCAAATTCAATACACACTACTACAGGTGTTACACCAAGTAGTTTAGTTTTCAAGCATAAGATTAGAAACCGATTTGATTTGTTGACAGAAAGAAGTGTTAAGTCTGATAAGAATGTTCTAAATTATCCTGGTAAACGAAACGAGCTTTTTAAGGAGGGAGATAGCGTATTATGTAGAGATTTCAGAAACCCGAATAAAAAGGTTTGGGTCGAAGCTAAAATAGATGAAGTTCTTAGTGATAGAATTTATTTATGTAAAGTGTTACATGAAAATTTGATTTGGAAAAGGCACATCAACCAAATATTGAACAGTCAATTGAAACATGAAGTTGATTTTAAGCAGGCAACATTGGATGATGTACCTGCACCCAAAAATAATAGTGTAATATCTGATAAGTATTGTATTTCCTCTTCTGTGACAAATTTACCTAACTGTGACTCAAAACCCGAAAATGACATATTTGAACCAGTGATTGAACCCATTTCTAGTGAAGTGTTTATTCCTAGAAAAATAATGACTGAAACTAAAGAAGCAAAGTGTTTATTAAAAGAAAATAGTAAGGTTGCTAGTTTGAATGTTAATGAGCGTCCCAAAAGAATTATAAAAGCACCTCAACGTTTAAATTTATAGATAGGGTAGATTGTAGTATATTGGATAAATGCTCTTAGCATTTCATAGTTTTTATATTGTCATGTCAGGTTTTTGTCATTATTTTTATCAAGGTATATTTTTATTATATTCTATTTCTTTTGTTATCTTCACTAGTTACTAGCCATGATTACTGGTTGTTAGAAAATAAACTTGGATAATTTTCCTATGATTATTCCAGAAATCCTCTTTGTTTGAATTCCCAGTTATCACACCCTGTATAAGTAGGAATCTATCTACTAAAAAAATTTTAATGAAAAAATAGCCAGACACTTACCCCATCTCCAAATCCCCAACAAAGAATGGAAAGTAATAATTCCATAAGCAAATTTACAAAACATATCATCCACAGACTTAAAACAGTACAGTCCTGTTCCAGCCAAGATTATATGGGACAAAGCGGTCAAGTATTGAACCATTTTTGTTGCAAAAAAATAACGTTCCTGCAGAAAAATTTATCTAGGTTCATCCTTTCAAAGAATGTTTGGTTTTAATACATTTTCACTAACCTACAAAATGACCGAAATATTTGGTTCTAAAGTCTAATATCTGATATCAGAAATATTAATAAACATTCATTTCGATCTTTCTTGAAAAAGCTAGATATTTTATTTCAGAATCGGTCTTGAAAATAATTGGTTTACTCAATTTTTAGCAATTTTTCTCAATTTACTAATAAGTAAAAAGCTTTGTTTTGTTTTGGTTTTGTTTGTTTATTTTTAGAAAGTTTCGTTGACATTTTTGACAATTCAAAATCGGAAATGTCAAAATCGTATTTTGGCGCGAGTGAAGCTATAGCGTATTTCATTGGAAGTGTAAACACTGGTGCAGTATTCGTGATCCATTGGTAGAGTTCGCGCTGCACTTTTGTATTTCATTGGGAAAGCAATGCACTGAGTTTTGCACTGAGTGCTGTTGGTGCGCCACCGACTAAAAAGCTCGCGTCACACTCAGTGCAGTTGTTTATGGACCTTTCTCATTTTATTTTATTTTTTTATTTTTTTATTTTTCCATTTTGACGTTTTATGTATGAATCAAACTTTTCATGCATCCGTTTATCTGTCAATCCGTTGATGCGGAAGTATTCCTATTGGTCCAATATTCGGGCGCCAGAATATTGAACCATTAGGAATAGGAATACTTCCGGATTAACGGATTGACGGATAAACAAATGCATGAAAAGTATGCTTAAAGCCTAGTCTCCATGGACGCGAAATCGAGAATTTTTTTTTGCGGATATTTTCCGATTGGTTGGAATTTGACATTTAACATTTGATTTTTTTATGGCGGGAAAAATTCGCGAATTTTTTAACTTCTTGCGGCGTCGCAAAAAAGTTAACTATTTTTTAACTTTTCGCGAAATTTCGCCAAAAAAAAATGAGGTTATGTGGTGTTACTTTCAGTTTAGTTTTGTTTATGTTTTTGTCGGTATGTGCTCTGTCCCAAGGATGATACATACTACTAAGGATGGCTTATCCTCATAAGGCCTGTGTGTAACAAATCCCCCCCTACCCCGCCTAGCCAAAAAAGCAGTTGTGACGTAAGCATCATGGCGTTTTTCGCCTTGACGTAGGCTGTTTGCACCACAGGTTATGTTATGATCTGGCTGCTGGCTGGAAATTATGAAACTAGTTTCTAGTATAATTATAAGTCTAAAATTATAAAATTTTATCAGATACATATAATCATGACTTTTAATCATTACTGTTGTGTTCCTCAGTGCAAGTCTTGGGCTAAAAAAAAAAAAGCTGACAAAGGATTGAGTTTCTACATATTTCCCCTTGAAACAGGCCACACAGGTTTATTTGGAATCGAAAATGGAAAAAGAGGTGTCGAGAAGAAAAGCCTACTGGATTTTAAAACTTCGTATTGGCAAACCAGTCACCAAATTCATGAAAGTGTATTCTCTGCATCTCAAGCAAGAATTTTGTGTTAAGGTAAACAAGCATAATGGGTAGTTTTGTGCCCTAGCTTCATTTTATTAGGCCTGCTTCTAGGCATTGATCAAGTACTATCTATTTTTAAAATGTTTTGTTTGAAAATATTGACTGTTTTTTTTATTTACAGGTGAGAGTACAGGTCTTAGAGGTACAGGTAGAGGTCGGATATTGAAAAAAACAGTTGTACCATCCCAGAATTTGCCCTCTTCTATAGTGATCCATAAACCGAGCCAAAAAATAGATTCCATGGGTGCTGAAAAACTTGCCAAAAGAAAAAGAAATCAAGATTCTATTGAGACTATACAAGTAATGAATGTAGTTATACTTTTAATCAATTATTAAACTCTTCTCAGATAGACATACAAACGGCCGAGCAAACAGCACAACGTGTAAAGTTTTTATTGAATCCTAATTACCAGTATTATATTGTTATAGGTAGTTCGAGTAAAAATCAGATTTGTGTTCAAGTTATTTGACTTTGTTAATTTAATTTTCACCTATTAATAATTAAAAATAAAGAGTTATTTATAAAATATTTATTTATTTATTACATATACAAGTTATTCAAATACAGACATTATAAGGGAGATAAAGTCCATTCCAAAATAATTCGTTGACTCTTCAAGTATCAATAAAATGTTGATGATACCCTCAACCACAAACTTCGACTACCTGTGAGCAGGTCCGGGTTGATTTTATTTATTATACCTGCCTAGGTGAGATGTACATGTAAATGTGGGTGAATGTTTTAGTTAAATTATTTAGTCTTTGTGCAGAACTAGAGCTGTTATATTGACAAAAAAAATGTGACGTCCATGGGCAAATGATGGTAGTATTGCAACCGGAAGTGGTATTTCAAAAAAAAAAACATTTATCGCTAGATGCCAAGGAAATTGTGAGGAACGTTTATTTAACCCTTCTGCAGAGAGGCTATAATCATAATCAAAGTGTGAGTGAATCATCCGTTTTAACCAAAACTCCATTATCTACGGTTAAAGATATCGTAGCCAAACGCATCCAGCCAAGGAAGCAACGGTGTGACAGCGGCAAGTCAAGAAAGGTTGAAGAAGCGGATAAAGAGTTGATTCGTAGGAAAATTTATGATTTGTACAGTAAACAAATAATACCTACAATAGATTCTCTAAAAAAGGTACTTATAGAAGACGAAACTGATATATTATGTAGCAGAACAAGCCTTTGGAGAATTGTGAAAGCAATGGGTTTCAAATATCAAACCATTAATAAGAGGCTAAGAGGCAAGTGCTAATGGAATCCCAGCGATTACAAGCATGGCGTCGAGAATATTTAAGTTCCATAAAACAATATAGGGCAGAAAATCGTCCGATAATATATCTTGACGAAACATGGTTTGATACCCATGACACTCCCAAAAGAGGATGGAGCGACTCAACCTCCAAATGTCAAACCAAAGCACCCTCAAATAAAGGCCAGAGGATTACAATTTTGCATGCCGGATCAGAAAATGGTTTTGTTCCAAACTCTTTGCTGCTATCCGCAAAAAAATAGCCAATTCATCATTAGATTATCATCAAGATACCGATGCAAAATTATTTGAAGAATGGTTTCAGAATCGCCTTCTTCCGAACATACCAGAAAACAGTATAATTGTGATGGACAACGCTAGTTACCACAGCCGTCAAAAAAATAAAGTGCCCAATGCAAGTAATACAAAAGTAGAACTTCAAAAATATATGATGGAAAATGATATGTATTTCGAAGAAAATTATACAAAGAAAGATCTTTTAAACGTTTTGAAATCATATAATGTTAAAAAAGAATATATTTGTGACGATCTTGCTAGCGCTTGTGGTCATACAGTTTTGCGTCTTCCTCCATATTATTGTATTTTCAATCCAATAGAACATATCTGGCATGAATTGAAGGCAATGGTTAGGAGAGGAAACACCTCTCCTACACTTAGTACTGCTGTAATAGATTTAATTAGAAAATGTGTAGATAATATTCCAGTTCAAAGCTGGAAAAATTCTGTCAATCACGTTATAAAAGTTGAAGAAACCTATAATTCAATAGGTATTAATGTTAAGCCATTAATAATTAGTTTAGGCATAGATGAAGATGACAGTGACAGTGAAACGGAACTAAATATAGATTAGGTTTGGTTGAATTGTGTATTGTATTATATTGTATTAGATATTAAGTTTTGGTAATTATTAAGATAGTATAAGATTATAACATAAATAAATAATATTATGAAACGCCTTTTTCGTTTTCATTATAATGGGCACAAAATCCGTACCTGTAAACCTTTGAGTGGGTATTAAGGAACCCGGTACCTACATAAAAGAACCTGGTACCTACACAATAGAGGCTAATAGCTATCTAATTTATGGTAGGGTTTTATAGCCGTGAAGTCAACGAAATATTTTGGAATGGACTTTACCATACCTGCCTTTAGACCCTTTTGGCAATGTCCTATTGTAGAAAGTTTACAAAAATATAAGAAAAAGAACCGGTTAGGCTGTTGTATGGATATAATCATTTCGGATCAGGTAAACGAAATAGATTATAATGAATTTTGGCCTGCATCATCACAAGCAGCATTATGGGTGAAAATTATTACCCAGTGTGAAACTTTCGAGAACAGTGAATAAATAAGTCGATATTGCATTTACAGCACATTGTTCTTCCTCGGCTGCTACAGTTTTGACCACCACATCGTTTTTTTTACGTTCAGGAAAAGTGTTTGAATGATGATGCAGTCCATAATACCTTATATCATTATTGACTCAAAAATCACTTGCTGCAGCCCGAAGCATATTCTTCTGTAGCGCAAGGTGGTACTTTATATTTCCTCGGGTATGTCTGAAAATAAAAATAAAGTTAAAATTGTATGATTTCTCAAAAAATTGTTAATTCTGCTCTACCTGTGATATATTTCCCATTCGAATAAACAATTTTTGCACTAGCACACAAAGTTGCCTAGTAGATAGGTCAGCTAAACCACGTTCCTCATCTGCTGAATCTAAGTCAGTGAGCTCTTTGCTTTCTGTGTGGGCTCAATAATATGCCATCAACATTTTCATTATCATAAGCAGTATTCAAAACTTCCTGATGGCTAATTCCACTAAAACAAAATGTACAGCTAAAAATGTTAGCTACTGCCCAGGCCCATATGCCATATGGACAGTAATGTTTACAAGAATATAATACATAAACAAACGATCAATTTATGCTCGAATAGGAATATGTTTTTATAATAATATGAGAAAACCCTAAAAACAATTAAATAGTATAGAATAAAATATCTTATAGTTATTATACCTACTTACATATAGAAATGTAAACAAAACGCCGCGTAATTCTCCTAGGGCTCCATTAAATCATACATGCTGAAAACGTGTAAATAGGCGGAATGACGAAAGCTAGCCAAATATCGAAATATCGCGCTCAGATCGCACTTTTGACCTTGATGTTTATTGGTTCCGTCATAGGGTACCTTTACGCGCTATAATGGTTAATCAGAATCAAAATAATAGATTTTTCATGACAAATTTATAAATTTATAAAACCGCTGGCGCAAACAGCTGGCGACTTTGTTATGACGTCAGCAGTGGTTGGAAACATTTGAAAACCAATATGGCGGCGATTACCCAAAAAGGGGCCGATAAGCACTCCTTAGAAAGTTTATTCTCCTTGCTCTGTCCTCTGTGAGTCGTTGATGTGTTTTGTACTTGTAGATACCTAATAAAGAATGGATACTGCCAAAGAATTGAATATTG